TTCTTTTTCTTTTCAGATATCAATATGAAATTTTCTTTGCACACCGAACAAGATCTACCCTTATTGTTCCAATTATAAGTGTATTAGTTGAGTCGTCTGTCTACAAAAAGATAAAATTATTTTTAGACATACTTTAACAATTGAAATTATTAAATATTTTTCTTAAGAAGTGTATACGAATCAATACTAATATGAATATCATGGAGTATAAAATGTAAAAGGCTTTTGTTAGGCTTGAAAAAAGAATAGTTTTTTTTTGTCTTATGATTAGAAATAAATAGACAATACTATACCCAAAGAGACTTCAACTGTCCAAATTAAATACCACAAACTACCACAATACTCTTTGCTCTTTCATTTTTAGTTAATTTGCGGTCCAAATTTTTTCTTTCTTTTCCAACTGTGCCAACTTGGTCCATTTAATTCACCTCTCAAAAGTTATAACTCTCTTTACATTTTATTTATTATATATATACATGTCTAATTGCTTTACTAGTAAGTGCACATACAAACAAGTTACAATATTTTTGTAACAACATTTTTGCCAAAATGGCCACACCTAGTTTTTCAATTATTTTGAGCCTTTTGTTGATTTTTGGAGTGGGTATTTCCCAAAGTGAAGCTAGGGCATTTTTTGTGTTTGGTGATTCACTTGTTGATAGTGGAAATAATAATTATTTGGCTACTACTGCAAGGGCAGATTCACCACCTTATGGTATTGATTATCCAACACGTAGAGCAACTGGTCGTTTCTCTAATGGCTACAACATTCCTGACATTATCAGTTGAGTCCATTTTGCTTTTTTTTTAAATGTTTTTTTGATATGACGTTTTCTTCATATGACTTATAGGTCACAGGGTTAGTGATGCTTGCATCAGGATAGGGTGACTATGTCACATTTTTATCATAGAGTAGTGGTGGTTCTTTTCTAGATTCTGTGTGAATGCGAGATACATGCTCTGTACACGTCGAGTTCACATGAACCAAATATTTTCAATGCGGAGTGTGAATTATGTGTAAAATTTATTAAAACTATAACAAGTAGTAGATATGAATCTTTTCCCCTTAAGAATATAATAAGTTAATGCTAAGAACTTTAAAGTTTGAATTCATAGAAAGTTTAAATCTCGGATACACCATTGAATTGGAGAATTGTGGAGAAATTGTAGAGTTGTCTTTGTAAGTCACGAGTTCGAGCTGTGAAATCGGTTACTAATGCTTGCGCTAGGATTGACGACCTACATTACATCCTCTTAGGGTGCGACCCTTTTTTTGTACACTACATGAACGTGAAATACTTTGTGCATCAAACTGTGTTTTACACTAGCATCTAATTGCGTGTGTTTTTGCATCTTTTATGAAAGGAACTTACTTATGAACACTAGCATTATAATTCTAATCTATTGTAGATGACAACCTGTCTTATTTTCCAGATTACTTATCCTACTTTAATTTTTAAGACAACTACCTGTAGTTTTCTTTTATAAATTTAACTTTTATACATCGATAGTATAAAAAAAAAATTCACTATAAGATAATCTAAAATACTAGCTGTAACCGTCCATAAAGAATAAGACTAAATTCACCTGAAAATAAGACAAGTTACTTGCTACAAGTAATATGTTTAAGTATATTGATAGCATATCAATTCTTTTCACTAGAAATGTACAAAAGGTAAATCCTTCTTCAAGGTTGACCTAGTACTAGTATATTTTTTTTTTACATTGTTAGTATATATAAGTTAAACTCGTGATAGATGCAGTTGATCAGCTTCGATTATTTTACTTTTTTTCAGGTCAACAAATTGGTTCATCAGAATCACCACTACCTTACTTAAGTCCAGCTCTTACTGGACAAAGACTTCTTGTTGGTGCTAACTTTGCATCTGCTGGAATTGGAATTCTAAATGACACTGGAATCCAATTTGTACATACAAAACTTTAGTCTAAATTCAAATTATTTTCAACATTTAACATGTTAATTTGTTTGACTAATGATAATATATATATGCAGATTAATATAATTCGAATGCCACAACAATTGGATTATTTTAGACAATATCAACGTAGAGTGAGTGGACTAATTGGTGAAGCCAGTACTCAAAGACTTGTAAATCAAGCTCTTGTTCTTATGACTCTTGGAGGCAATGATTTTGTCAACAACTATTTTCTTGTGCCCAATTCTGCGCGATCGCGCCAATTTTCTATTCCAGATTATGTCCCTTTTTTGATAAGAGAATATCGTAAAATCTTGATGGTACGTATTGAATTTCTATGTGTGACACGATTTGTTAGGAATAATTTCAGAGATTTCCCCTTTTGGTTTAGCTTTGTAACATGACCTTCATTTAACATAACATTTATAACAAAGTAAGTTTTTCACCAACATAATTGGTTGTCAATTGCTAGCTGTTTTAAAAAAAAAATGAAATATCAGTAGAAAGATTCAGATAACATTAATGTAGTTGAAGTAATTGAATGCATATTGAAGTTATGTACTATTGTATAGGTAGATAATAATACCTACTAATAATATAGATAAGTTTTATTATTATAGAAACTAATATACCTTTTCATGATGTTACTTCAGAATGTGTTTAATCTTGGAGCTCGTCGTGTAATTGTGACTGGAACTGGACCATTAGGGTGTGTCCCAGCAGAACTAGCTCAACGTAGCAGGAACGGGGAATGTTCACCCGAGTTGCAACAAGCTGCAGCACTGTTTAACCCACAGCTTATGCAAATGCTTCAGGGGTTAAACAGAGAACTAGGCAGCAATGTTTTTATTGCTGCAAATACACAACAAATGCACACTAATTTCATTACTAATCCACAAGCATATGGTAAAAATCAATGCAACACTTTAAATTTACATGTCCTGTTCAGGTTCAGTGGCAGAGCCAGGATTTTTACTAAGGGGTTCAGTATCCTGGCACTGGGCTTTGGCCTATGGTTAATTCATGTTATTAATATTGACAATTGTTTCTATTCTTTGACAGGATTTATAACATCAAAGGTAGCATGTTGTGGTCAAGGACCATATAACGGTCTTGGTCTATGTACACCGCTCTCTAATTTGTGTCCGAATAGAGATGTTTACGCGTTTTGGGATCCGTTCCATCCATCTGAGAGGGCAAATAAGATCATTGTGCAACAAATCATGTCCGGTACGACGGAGTACATGAATCCAATGAATCTCAGTACAATTCTGGCTATGGATTCAGAGGCATAATATATAAACATATCTGGAATCTGTTCAATTGTACCTTTTGTTGCTAAATTTTTTTGGCTATAAATAAGTTGTATGCAGCACCTCATGTTGTGCTACTTTTAAATTTACAAAAGTTTGGTTGTGTGCTATGTTTTTATTCACTTAATTCAGTAATCTAATTTGTAGGGTGGAGTGTGATATTGTTGAAAATGTAAACCAAAGTGTTTTCAATTTATATAATATATGAAGTGAAATACTTTCATGGCATGTAATTTTGGTACTTTCATTTGATCAAATTTGGTGAATTTAGTATATGTTGCAAAATTATTCAAGAGAAAAGGGTAAAAAATGTCCCTATTTTGGATGGAATTTCTCAAATCAAACAAAAATATCCAATTTCCTTAAATAATGCATTTCTTTGTTTTAATTTAATTCGACCTGACCCACTAAATTAAATAACCTGAATCAAATTTAAACCCAATTATAAACATGTATTATAACTAGGATCACACTTAGGTAGTAGACAAAGTAAAAAGACATTTTTATCCTTTTCGCTTGATATGGTGGTGTTGTTATGGCCAACAACTAATAGTATCACTTTCTTCATTTTTAGACTTTGAGAAATCAAGGACCTATTCGTAGAGACGGAATCAAGATTTAAAGTTTATGAATTTGAGTTCTTTTAGTCTTTTATTATTACTGGATTTTAAATTAATAATTTATATGTATATAAAATAATTTCTTAATACAAAAAATTTAAACTAAAATTAATGAGTTTGTCCCAACTCGAAACGTACTGCACATTGGCTTCTCCTCTGAGGCAACGCATATGACATTAATTATTCTAAGTTAAAAAGTACTTTTATGTGGATTCTTTACCACACTTGAAAGATTTCAGCTCATCATCCTCATCTTCAACTTATTCACAATTTTGAAGGTGCTTTTGACTAGTCTAAGAATGACAATAGGACGGGACTGGAGCAGGGCAAGTTTTGCTTTATGCGGGACGGGGTGGGTTAGTATATTTGTGGGTCTATACAGGTTTGCCCCACAACCGCCCCATCCAATGCCATCCCTAGTGACCACATGAAAACTTATTCAAAATATTTATGACTTTTTATTGTAGTAGAAAGTTGCGAGAAAACAAAATGTACCATCCTATCATAATCACAGACTTACCAAGAATTTTAAAATTACATTTTCAAAACCTTCTATGTGAAGATAAATTTCAAATATCTTGACAAGGATTTATTGATAATTCGATAAAACAAACATGTTTACTATTATGGATTAAAATTTAACTAATTAATTTTTTTAATGTATATAACTTAATTAGATCCATCAAGATTCTCCTTTAGCCAATGCACGCCTTGTACTAGATAATTTTGTTTAATTTCTCCACTTTTTTCACATGAAATTATCATGTTTTATAAGTATGGGCCTCACGTGATCTTTTTTCCAACCAAAAAGTAAAGATACCCTAGCTGAGATATCAAATTTATTTTCTTTGGATATGCTAAGATTTGATTAATTTAGATAAATATCAGGTTGAAATGTTAACAGAAATAAAAATACTAGGCGATTTCTTTTTATGTGTCCTAATTTTGACAAATAAAATTATATATCATACATATTGTTGCTGGCGAAAGATGACATACTAGCCCCCTCTAATCCCCCCCACCCCTCTATATATTGTCTATATATAACAATGTTTCTTAACTCTTTTCCCACCTTGAACTAAAGAGTAAAGCCTTCTAAATACATTTTTTTAGCTGAAATCAATTAAGAAATGGAGAGGAAATTTTTTGGGTTTTTCTTTGTGATTCTCTTGATTTTTGCCTCACGTAAGTCTCCATTTTTATTTGTTTCCTTATTTTGTCCTAAATCTAATTGTTCACTCTTTCCTTATCTCATAAATCAATCAATTAATTAAGCACTTATCAATCTTAGTTAATCAGTTGGGATCGAATATATGAATTATTAACCGTCTATTCAGATCGTTAGTATTCATTATACTACTAAATTTATTCAACATTAATTAAACCTTTCTATAGTGGCAGCGTACTGTTTGTCTTAAAGTTTTATGGCTGCTATAGTGAGGTGTTGTTAATTGTTATATATGTATACTCATATTTGACGTTGAGATCTCATTTAACTGTTATAAACAAAAGTATGCAAAATTACTTTTTTGTCCTTTCTATGTTATAAACGAAAAAAAACTTCTAGTCTTTAATTCCTCATGAATTTATGACTATAGAAAAATATTGTTACAACAAGGTTTGATGGTATACTAACTGTCACTAGAAAAAAAAATAGCGATGGATAACTTTTGTCCTTAAACTATAAAAGTTCGTCATTAATCTTATTTAACAATATATTAGATCAGACAGATTATCAAAAAATCGTGTTAGCTATGTATTATTTAACGACTATTTTTGTATCTAAGTCCTGTTTTTGTTTAGTACATCAATATACCTCAACTAATTTTTTTTTTTTTTTTTTTTTTTTGTTGATAAATATATATATGGATTATGCAGAAATGGGAATAATGATGCCACAAGTAGAAGCAAGAGTTTGTATGTCACCTAGCCATAGCTATCATGGTCCATGTTGGCATGATCACAATTGTGCTATTGTTTGCAGAAATGAAGGCTTCTCTGGTGGTAATTGTGTTGGTATCCAACTTAAGTGCTATTGCACTAAGCTATGTTAGTTTTTTTATTTTCATTTTTCACTCGGTGTGATGTCAGCCTGTTGGACCTACTCTGAAGCTTGACTAATTTCGAAGTCATGCAAAGAAGATATGTTGACTTTTGTTTTCTTTTCCTTTTGAAAGGCTTGAATGTAATGCATGCATCTATGTTTCAATTTGTGTTTAGTAATATGGTCAAACCTCTTTATAATAACGTTACATTATAATGACTCAACACCCTTCCTCATATAGTCATATTAACATAGCTTTGGAGTTTCAAGTATATTTTGAACAAAAATGGATACAGTCAAACCTCTCTATAACATCCATACTCTATTATAAAATTTCATTATAATGGACAATTTCTTAAGAACCAAAACGTTAACAACACTATTATAGAGAGGTTTGACAGTATATTTTACATTATTCCAACAGGTGACAAATTATGCTTTAACATAAGTACATCATTTTCTCTAGAAAACAAAAGGAATCAAAGCTTTAACATTCTTAGGAAAATTTTCAAATTTAGAAAGGTACCATTTCCTAGTAACATTACTCCTTGCTGACAGATATAAAGCTACACCCACAGCACAGCAAAACGAAAACGATGTCTGGGAGATGAATGAGATCCCTACTGAAAAGATAATGAGGGCATATGACCATACTGAAAAGGCCGCCTTGCGGAATTTTATAACCCTTCTCTTTACTGCCTCTGAGCTTGGAAAGGAGGTAATGATGATAAAAGTTGCCACTGATTCCGACTAAGAATATCAGTACACCGATAGACTTCAGATCGATTTCAGGCTCCGTATATTGTAGAGTTAAGTGTTGGATGTAGATCATGACTGCAGGCACCATAAAATAGGAGGATGAAATAAGGAGTACTGATCCAAGGATCATCCCACCACTGTATTTGTGAACAAACAGAACCTGCAAAACAGAATGGGCAAGCTCGTTACTCCTCATAGAAATTGGCTCGTTTGAAGAATAATACATTTGTAGTGCATGAACATATGACAACAGAATCGGATTAATATAAGCAGCACGGATATATATCTATATCAGATTTCTAGTGAATACAAAGCAATCAGTTTGGAACAAATTACGTAGTTCCTTGTTTGGGATGAATACTTCGAATCACTAGATCGTGCTGAAGATAGCATTGAATGGTATGAACTAGTGGAACGAAGTAGGAATCTTGTATGCTATATAAAGGCAATATCAAGCAGCAAGAACAGTATATAGAACAGTGGGAAAAATAAGTGATAGTACCAAAAAATATGGTAGTTTAGGTGCAAAGGATGGAAGGCTTACACAACAGGAGCCTCCTATTTAACTGGCTATGCAGGTACACAATAGCAAACGAAGATTCTCTAAATGACGAAGGTTGTTAAGGCATAATTTTTTTTGATAACCGTGGTGTCATACACCTCGACTAATTCCAGGGGATACTTGTCACCTTCCACCAGCAATAGATATCAGCTAACTTTGTCCACCAAAGCTAGAACAAATGGGATGAAATCATTTAGCTTCAAACCAGTGCCGGCTCTTGCCTATAAATTTTTAGGCCAATGCCTTAGGCCCCCAATTTTTTATAAATAAAAAATCTATGTTTAATCTTTTCATGAAAAAATATGAATTATTTATAATAAAAAGTATATATATATATATATATATATACTTTTTATTATATTTTCTTCGCTAACGCTCACATTATTTATCCTTTTTAACTCCTTCTGCACTCTATTTCTTCAAATCTTTGATAGTTAGAGTAATATTCTGTCAAAAATATGAATCAATAGCCGAAAAATGTTGAACAAAGTAAATTACAAATATTATTTTATTTCTTCGTAACTTTTCATATTAAAGTAGGGTATACCAAGTTATCAATTTTTTGAATCAGATTCTATGATTCTAACTCTTATCTTTATTTAAAATTTATTAACTTATTACTTATCGAACTATATTATCGATTCATATAATAATTGTCTCAATAATGATGTTTTTCAATGTTGAATTGATAAAATCTTGCTTAAAAATAATAATTTTAAAAAGTATTTGAAAAAATCATTTATAAAAAAAAAATTGTAATAATTTACATCTAAAAATTTGGAAAAATAAATAAATACAGATAAAATTTATTTAAATTTTAGGCTTCTAATTAAAATTTTGCTTCTAGACCCTGGCTTTGGCAACAACTACGGAGATGTAGAGCTTCTCCAAAGTTTTCAGTTTTCTCGAAAACTCTACCTAAAGGTTACCTTACCCGAGACAATTTGAGAAGAACGGAATCCAATCAGTGCAATAGGTGTTTTTGAAAAAAAACGATTCATCGAAGAAAAAAATCAGAAACAACAATCACATTCCAGCTAACATTTCGATTTTAAACAGAACATTGTTAAAAAAGCAATCTATATTGTCAGAGAATATATATGTTCTGGGACGGAAGGATTCGAACCTCCGAATAGCGCTAAAGTCCTAAAGAAAAGCGACCCCAATCCCTCCCCAGCCCAGGTCAAAGGTCTTCCGTCAAATCGACCTTCCCTCTCATCTCAGGGTGAGGCAAGCAAGGCTGGAGCTCGGGTATTGATATATTCCATGCTTTCAACCCCTATTTATATTTGACCAAAAGCAAAACCTTTCTTTGAATTTTTAGTCATTCTATTTATTTCGAGAATAAGTGATGATTCGAGGATTCTTACTCAGGGAATCCTTGATTTGATTTAGGTTAGGTTTTTTTATTGAATCATCGTGGTTCTAGTATGGAGGGAGAGGAACCTGAGATGCTAGCCAAGGAATCTCCAAATAAGTTCATAGCTCGTAATATTTTCCATCAACTGATTCTAAAAATCATCAAAAGTAACCAAAAAAAAAAACTAGTATGTATTACACAAATTCAATTGAGTCCATCAAATTAGGCATTAGGTTTAACTCACACCCCAAGAGCTACTAGCTCAACGCGAGAGGATTGCCCAAACCAGAGCCTAATGTTTTCGTCCCAGTCCAATGTGGGATCATTCTCATCAAGATTCCCTCACACCCGCCCGGATCTGAACATTCTTTATCTGAGGTTCCACAAGGTGTATATTCACAACCCCACACAGTCGGGGGCACCACATAGAACAAGTAAACCTGACTCTGATACCACGTAAAGTTTGAGATCAAAAAACAATAAAAACAAGAATATTTTGGGAGAATTTCCTCTATATTTGTATTCACAATATGACCAACTTATATACAAGGACATAAACAACTTTTAGCATCAATAAGTATGCATATTAATTAACAAAATATATTAATCGACAATTAAGCTATGACCGTCAATTGAAAAGAAAAAAAAAAGTTTACCTCAAGAACCCTTTTGAAGAAATGTATAGTAACAGCAGATTTAAGCAACATAAACCTAGTTCCACCATCTGGGTACATAAAAAATGAAGCAAAACCCATAACACAAGCAGGTGCATAGAGTATAAACATCCCTACTTTACTAGACATTTTTCCCTGCAGAAAATTACTATTAGAGGAACCAGAATTTGCATTAACATTCCAAAATTTTGAGTATTGGAGATGTTTTCCAGCAATTTCAGAAACACCCAAATAAGCTAAAAACAAAAAAGTTATCACAGTTATTGCTGTGATAATTGAAGATCCCTCTTCAAACACAAAACTTTGAAACATTTTCACAGATTTTTTTTGTGATTTTTTTTTCCAGATCTCTTTATTTAATATTCAAAACTTGAAGGAGACCGGTATAGAGTATTTATAATGTTAATTTTGGTGTGGATAAATATGAACTGAATCTCCTTTTACATCACTTCCAGAAGAATGAAAAAGAAAAGAGTTTTATAAAAAAAAATTTATCGGTTATTGGTTTGGTATCGATTTTTAATATTGGGTTAATATAACTCATTAAGACGATAGTAAGTTATTACTATATCCTTCATAAATATTAAATATTAATAATTTAACATAACTAGACACTATATCACTACTCTACACTACGGTCTACACACATTTCACATGTCATAGTACTTCTACTTCACATAAGAAATTCCATATTATGTTTTGGTTGTAACATGTTATTGTTGCCTTCATACTACATCTACTCTTATTGATTCAATTTCTCATTATATTTCTTGTTTCACTATATCAAAGTATTTACAGCTAATTTGATTGTCTCACCGGACAGTGCCAAATTGTTTGGAAAGTAAGAAATCATATATTTATTTTATGAACGTTTTTTTATTTGGGTAAACCGAAATCCGAACCGTTAATGATCAAAATCGATAAATCAAAAACCGATAAATTAAACTGATAATGCATAAAACCGAATCGAAACGACTGACGCACACCACTTGGTTCAAGTCTTATAGAAAGAAAATTTTGTTGGAAGCACCATCCTCAAATGAGACTACAGTGCTCAATCCAAATTTAATAATTTAATTAAAACTCCAATATAGACTCGGACTCTTGATACTAGATGGAAAAAAAGAGTTTAAATAATAAAAATAAATTAAATTTATTATTTGTTTGCGTATTTAATATTTCTATTTTGTATTATTTCATACATATTATAAATATAGTTATAAGTTGATCTACACACTTATTGTGATTGAAAATAAATATTTGATCAACTTGATATACATGTACAATGAGAGTAAGGATTTAAGTAGATAAAATGTGGAAAAAGTTGAGATATGAAACTAAAAAAACATGTAAAAGAAATGTTTTGGAGCAAATAAAGTTAAGAAAATCATGGAAAGTACTCCTGGGCGGTCCGGAGGGGATCATCACGATTTCTCTTTTTTCGAGAATTTATAATTTCGATATTAGTGTATGAACAATTATTTCTCGAGTATATGTTTAGATTCGGCCTGATTGAAAAATTGAATGAAACATGTAATAATGTATTGTTATAGATTAAGAACTATAATTCATTTTGAGGCGATAGAGGGATTGTATCATTCGAGCTATTTTTTTCTTAACCAAAGTCAAAATGAGTTTCATTTTATTTAATTCCTACGTAAAATATAAATATTTTATTTTATTTATTTATTTTAATCAATTGAGAGTGTTTATTATTTTTTATATATTTATAAATAACTATATTAAATGATATTAATTAAATTTAATTTTAAAAATTATTATAATAAAATA